CTTGAAGTAGTTTCATCATATTTTTTTTATCACACATATTTATATAGTTAAAAAATGGAAAAAAATTAGTTACACATGCTTATGTAATTTTATAATTTTTATTAAGAAAAGAATTATAAAAACATAACATATCAGTAACGTTAAGGCATGGTGCAACATTGTTAGTTTTATGAGCAATATGTTCCTTAAAGCGTGTTATTTTTCTTTTTACAATTTTGCCATAATGTTTACATGAAACATTTTCTTTTGTATTTGGTACAGGTATTCCAAAATACTAACTTATATAATCATTTGGCATGCCGTTCACTAATTCCGAGTAAAGGAGTAAAGGATGCACCAAGTGATGATATAGGTTGACATTTTAGAATACTTGCATCAAATACAACAGGAAATGTTTAATATAAATTTTGTGGCAAAGTTGTAAAATGAGGAATAATACATTTCAAGGAACATATTGCTCATAAAACTGACAATGTTGCACCATGTATCAATGTTACTAGTATGTTATGCTTTTATAATTCCTTTGAAAATATTTTTGTTAGTTTCTCAATAAAAATTATAAAATTATATAAGCATGTGCAACAATTTTTTTTTCTTTTTCTTAACTATATTATTAATAAGTGTGATAAGAGAAAGTATCATGAAACTTTTTCAAGAAAACAATTCAAAGAAAGTTGACAAAAAAAGAAGAAAAAATGAATTCTTATCCTAATTAAGAGAGAAAGACTATGATTATAAAGATTTATTGAAGAAGATACTGCTATTAGATAAGTCATACGAGATAATATCCAATCACAGCATAAGTGGCATAAAAGACAAGAATTTAGACAAAAAATCGGTGGTTAGAGCAACATAAATAAAAAGGAACGAAACTCTCATGGCTTAGTTGTTGAATATTACGAAGAAAGAACAAGAAAATTAACTCCAAGTAAATCTGAATTTTTATTAAGGGAGCTGTACCTGAATTAATTAGGAATAAGAGTTCAAAGCAACCAACGACAAGTGATTCATTTTTAAAGACATTATGAAGAAGGTGGGTAAATTAATATCAAAATTTTTAATATGTAATCTACTTCTTTTTTCATTAGTAAACTCTTCATGGTTGCATAATTTATTTTTTGTGATAGCAAAAGTTGGTCAACGTGTAAAACTTTCAACACCTTATAAGGTCTCAGATGTATATTTAAAGTCTAAGTATCAACAATTTCAATAAAATGCACATCGTTAATTTCAATCAATTAGATGTGTTAATCTATTAAAAGTACATTGGAATGAATTGGGTGTCACAACAATTTTAATCAAATACGCATCATTAGTTTCTTTATCTATTGCAGTAAAGGAATCTTTTTTTAAAGATCTATAAATGTCTCAAGTGTTTGTATTAGAGATACAAACTTTTATTACAGATTATTAGAGGAAACTGTGAAAAAAATTGGAAACAATTACATTTTTTAAATAGTCACTGATAATGATGTAGCATTTAAAGTTGCGGAAAAAAAATAATGGAGAAAAGATAACATTTGTATTTAACAGTATGTTCAACTCATTGTTTGGACTTGTGCCTTGGGGATTTTCACAAAAAGTAAAAAAGTGGCAACGATTTTGGATGAGGCGAATAAAGTCACTTGTTTTGTGTATAATCACATTTAGATTATTGATTTGATGAAGTACGCATAAAGAAAGCAAATATATTTTCTTACTCTTATCCAATTTGTCACTCATTTCATATAATTAAAAGAAATGACGAGGTAAAAGTAAGGTTTGAGAGAGATGTTCAATTCAAAGGTTAATACTTAGTAATTATTACAACTGTTTAAATCAAGCATCTTTTTATGCTAACATTGTTTAAAATATTAATTTAAAATATATTATTCTAAAAATTCATTGATGAACATATAAGAATTTAAAAAATAAAAAAGAAGACAACAAAAATCAGGTTTGCTTATGAAGCCAAAAAAATTATTTTGAAAAAAGATTTTTGAAAAAAAGCTAGCGATATAATAAAGGTTTATGAGCTTTCGGTAAAAGTATTGCGCTTTATAGATGGTGATGAGAAACTCATAATAGGTTTTATTTATGATGCTGTAAATAGAGCTAAATAACAATTTATCAAAATTGTTGTTATTATGCTATACATGAAAAGATTATTGAAAATAGGTGAAATTTATGCATTCTGACTTGTATCTAGCTAGTAAGTAAACCAAAATGTGAGTCATATTTAAAAAATACATTTATTTTTACGCTTAAATTGCTTATATATTTATTTTTATTATTTTAAGATAATATTATTATAAATTATGTTAAGGTTATTATCTTAATTTACAATTTCAATTTAGTGTGCAGCATTATGCAAATGTATCTAAAGAAACAATTGAAGATACAATAGCAATGATTGAAAGATTAGAATCTTTTATAAATACTCGAATCAGAATAATTAATCAGGTTAGCATTTAATACTATTATAACTTTGACATTTATTTTATATATTAAAAATATAATTATTTTTATTTATTCATTTATTATTGTGTTTTGTATCGATATAGTTGCTATTATTTCGAGATAAACATGAAATATTTGATACTTTACAACCACAAAAAACTTAGAGGCATATGAATTCAGGTAAATAGTAAATCAAATAATTATAATTTATTTTATGTTATTTAATTGTATATCACGTTTAAATTTAATTTAAATAATTTTATACAATTAAGTGATGGATGATATATGACACTCATATTCTTGAATTGCAAAAATGAGCAGTTTAAATGCTTAGTTAAACAAGCTTTACATCAAATTGTGAACGAAATTAAAGCATATTTAGCTATATTCACACTAAGGCAAAAAATATATTGAAGTTTGAAGGACTTTAGAAACTAGTGTATACCAATTACAACATGAGGCTAAGGATGAGACATCAAAAAAAAATAATGAGTGTTGACAAGATAAATGATAGTTTTAATCCTATTAGTCTAAACCTTATTTTTAAGATGATGATCTACTAACAGAATGATTGCTAAAAAAAAAAAATCCTTTGTTAGATGGTTAAAACTCTAATTGATTGCCTGCGGATAATTGTGATATTGAAATGAATATTGAACAATCACGTCAATTTTCAAGAAAGGAATTTGTCTCATTCAAGTTCAAGTTTAACACTAAGTTAAAGTGATGATGGTGGGGTTTAAGTTCACCTGATTGTGATGGTGATTGTGTGGATTTTAATGATGATATAGGTGCAAATTGGCCTTATAGCTCATTTAGAAAACTTGGGCTTGCTGTTACTGGTGATCTTTTCATTAATAGGAATATAGAGTAAATCCATCCGCTTAATTTAGTAGGTAACTTGCACATATAGCTCGATTAAAAGGAAAAACCAATAAGAACTATTATGATATATCTAGATGTTATTCATCTTCAGGTAGAATATCAAATTCTAGTAACTTTGAGTATAATGAATCATTTGCTTGTACTCAATAATGTTATTATTGGTAATCTACCTCCACATAGTTATTATCTATCTCTAATTTAAATGTATCCTCTCACCATAAATATATCATCTTCAAATATATTTTTCACTTTAAATGTATCAAAACCAAAGGTCACAAGGATGGGAATGGTTCAACGTGGCTCTCAAAGTGAAGATAGAGAATTTGATTCTTTTTGTCATTTTACCATGTGATAAAATTTAAAATATATATCAATAATAATAGTTGATGAAATTTAAAAGTATTATAGTTTTAGGTTTGTAATATTATTAAATATAGATGCTTGGTATTTAATATATTATATTTTGTTATATTTGATTTGTCTGGAACTAATATTGAATATGAACTTAGTTCAAGCAAAAATTTGCTATTGAACCAAATATGAACGTTTTGTTATAATGTAAAACAAATTGTAAATAATTTTTTAAGATAATAAAAAACATAAAGTGTCATAAATTATTTTAAATATCATAAAATAAAAATTTTTATGATTATATTATTATATTTTATAACAAATTGAGCAAAATTTAAAAAAAAAAAAAAAACACACACACACAACTGCAATAATTGCAATGATATTTGCTATATTTGCAAATGCAATAAATACGGCGTGACAAAAAATCGCAATTTAAACCCTTGGCCGCATATGCATGTTGGTGGAACTTTTGGAAGGGCTACATAATTTGGAGATCCTTGTTGGCATTCAAAGCAGCAAGAGTGATCTGTTTGTCGTCTTTAGATCAAAGGGCAAATTTGTTATTTGTTAAATCTGTTGCAGAAATGGGTTTCGTAAATGTCTTACTATTCTTAAATTAGTAATATCATATTATCTTGTAGAAAATGCATCTGATCATTTATGCATGTTCATCTGACTAGCTACAGAGAACTCCATTGTATCAGTTACTAAAAGTTTTCTATGCCATCTTTTTCTTAGGGTTGTGCTGTCTATATATATCTATTTAGAAATCTTATTCTGGTCCTCCTGCTCGGACTGTTGCCAATCCCTCTCTGAAGATACATCTTTATTTTGGCTATATTTGCTTAATGAAAATTCTGATGAAGGACCTGGTAATTATGATGGTAAGGGAACTTATTCATCAGTATGAAGCCAAATCAAATGGATCCTGACCCGAACCATTAGAATGACCTTTAATGGTATTGCACCTTAAGCTCTATTTGGATGGACAGTGAGATTGACTGCGATAAGATTGAAAAAATAATAAAAAATACTGTAGCTGTGATTGAAAAAAAAATATATTTTAGCTGTGATTAAAAAAAATTTAATGAAAAATTTATGCTGCTTTAATCTCATTAGAGTTGATATTTAGATTCAACTGAAAATGCGGTGAGTTTAATCGGTGTGGTGAAATCCAAATAGGATCTTAGTTTTTGTACTTTTTTATATAAAATAGATCACAATTTGAAGATGGAAGAAGGGATTATAGGTATTAAAATTTGATTTTCAGTTAGATATTTTTTAAAGGTAATTATGATTATGATTATACAAATTAATTGAATTAAATTTTGGATTTTTAATATTTGTACTTTAACATGTTTCAGTTTCATTGACTCATTCAATCATCACTATAGAAAAACATAACAAAAAATAATAAAAAGAAAAAACAGAAAATAAATGACAGATAAATGGCATATGGTAACAGATACATAACTAGGCAAATTCAAGTGGCAGGGCAGGATCTTCCAATTTCTTACGATTTGAACTTGGATTTTATGGTATTGACAACACCCGCATCCACTTGGAAGGTCTTGGTCAAGACTTCATTTGGTATCGAAGAAGCAAAGAGATTTATGGGAACGACCACAGCACCGGGCAAGTGGCTGTTGAAAGCCGTGAAAGCCAGTGCCTTTCCTTCTCCAACATTAAGTTGGAAATGCACAAGTCCCTGAGGGATGACAAACATCTGCCCGGCAGTCAAGACTTTGGAGTAAAAAACATTGTTACTTGTCACAAAACCTACCAGGAGCTTCCCTTTAATCACCACACCCGTCTCGCTTGCACGAGGGTGCAAATGAGGCGGATTGAGTCCACCAGGGGCAAAGTCTACGCGGTTCATCGAAATTCCGAGAGTATTCAGCCCTGGGAATGTGAGGACATTTCCAGGTGTGAGGGCGGATGCGAAGATACTTGTTGTGTTACCTTCCTTGGTGAAACCGTCAAAGAAAAAGTCATCCGAAGTTACTTCGGATGCTGGTTTGCAAGGGAAACCATTAACAGATATAGAGGCAGTCACGTTTGCTACACAGAAGTCCTGTAATGGAGCGGGGTCAGCTGAATGGGAAGGTAGAAGTAGAAGCCAGAAAACATGAAGGCAACATAGAAGGTAGAATGGCAAGCTCGATAAGGAACCCATGGCAGACATGGATTTCTCTTCTTTAAAGTACAGGTAGTGAAGATTAACAATGGATCAATTTATGTATCTCTTAATAGTCTTAACTCTTAAAAGGTCAACAGTATAATAATGCCATAAAAACAAAATTGGTGGATGTTAGTTAGGGGCATGTTTACACCTAGCTACAATTAAGACATGGTCACACGGCAGAGGTAACGAAACTAGTAGACCAAAGAGAGAGATTTGAACAAAGAGAGTGACCCATGGAGAAAATCAACACCTAATCTAAATGTAAATGACTAAAAGGGGCAGGGAAGACAAAGTCTTTGAGCTGCGACTTTCTGATGATGCTAAGAGCTTCGCGGTATTTGCGGGCAACAAGTGGACAAATTTCAGCTTGACTCTGTCAAACTGAATGCAATTGTATATTTTTTTGTTCGGACACTAATATCAGTTAACCAATCACGCAATAACGCGTTGTTGAAATAGTTGTTGATGTTGGAGAAGCGATTGAGAGATGAATTCTTCTAGGCTTGATTTAGGAGTTACTTTCCTTTAACAAGAATAATCAAAATTGTCGAAGAGATACAATGAAAACCTTGTTAGAATTCGTTAGTGTGAAAGCTCTCCTTCGCACGGGATCAATATTTATATAGCAAAAATTAATTAGAGTAATATAATATTAAATGAAATGTAATGATCATACTTAGCACTTGAAATTTAAATACATTATTTTTATAATTTGTATTTATTTTTTTATTATCTCTTTATTTTGTATGTTGATATTTGTTGATTTTATTTAATAAAAATAAAATATTTTTAAATTCACTCTGAACATTGATAGAATTTTTCAAATATCTCTTAACTTAAGAATTTTTATTTTTAAAAAAGTTGTCATTTGCATTTTTTTAAATTATTTCATATCATTTGTATTATCGTCTTTTTAACTTTTTGTATATTTTATCTTATTTAATATTTTTATTTTTACTTTTTCGATATTTTTCTTTATTAATATTTTAAAATTGACTAATGTGTTGGAACAATTCTTAGGCCTCTTCCAATTATATTATTTCTCATTTTAATTTCTTTTTAAAAAACGTCCCAACTAATTTTTTAAAAATTTATATTATTAAGAAATTTTCAAAGTTATTGTTTTTTGTTAATTTTCACTTTTATTTAGTAAATCTAATAAAATTTAAATTATAAAATCCAATGAAATTTAATAAATAATAATCAAATAAAATTAAAAATAAAAAATTATGCCTTTAAAATGATCTAACTCTCTTTAAAAAAATAAGCATTGCTCTACTGGGAAAAATAAAAAATCCTACTTGGATATGAATTTTTTTTTTTTTTTATACACAATCCAAAACAAATTATTTCTTGGACTTGACTTAAAATTTTAAGCCAAAACCCAAATCTAATCGAGAATGTCATTATATTATTTAATATTTAATATAAAAATAGTTTTATTATTTTAATTATAAAATATCATTTTATTAGACAGAACAACTCATGATATCCTACCTTATTTGCCTTATTTACCTTTTCAATGTAGAAAAAGAAAAATATTGAATGAGCTTAATCTTACTCTTCTTTTTATTTTTTCCTCTAATCGTTCCTCTCTCTAGAATTTACCATAGACACCACATCTGACCAACGGCCAAAAAAGACACCACATCTGATCACAACTTGCGACGTGAATAGCTGATGGTTATTTTTTTATCCTCCTTTCTTTACTCTCTTTTTTACCTTTGCTTTATTCTTTTATTAACTTTTACTAAAAATTTCACATTTTGTAAAAAACAAAAAATCTCAACTTCACCGCCACCTTCACCTCCATCCGTCATTAGCCGCTAGAGGTTTCTTGTTGTTTTATGATTTCATATTTTTTGTTTGATTTTTTTTTAAATCAAAATATATTATAAAAATTTCAAATCTAAGTTCTCTATTTTTTTTAGGTTGATTTTTAGTGTTTATTAGTTGATTGTGTGTCGATGGGGTTGTTGCATGTGTGAGAAATTTTTTTGATTCTTTTATATATAAATATAAAATTCCAAAAATTTCAGATCTAAAAATTTTTTTGGGATTTTCTTTTATTGTTACTTGTGTTTATTGATTTTGTTGCTAGTAGCTTGTATTGCTTAAACTTTTAAAAATTAATTTTTTGAATTAAAAGAAATCAGATGTTGTCTTTTATTTTTAATGTTCTTTTTCTTTGTTTAGGAGGCATGTTCCTTATGAAGAAAATTCTAGATTTTTTTAGAAATTTTAAATATGAAATTTGTGGAGTAAAAAAGTTTTTTAAAAAAAACTTTACTACTTCATAGACAATGAAAATGCTACTTATCTAAAAAAAAATCTTTGCATTTTTTATTGATGTTATTGAGTTTTTTATTTTTATCTTTAAAGTAATTTTTTATCAAATTTTGATTTTTTTTAATTTAATATGCTTTTTATTTTTATTTTTATTTTTTTCATGTAATTTTTAAATTTTTATATAAATTTTAATTTAAAAATATTTAATACACCAACATTAATCACTAACAATGTGTTTAGATTGAAAGGAAATAAAGGAAACAAAAGTAAAGAAAAATAAAGGAAACAAAACACCTCTTTTCTTGTTTGGATAAGTATTTAATTTAAAGAAAGGAAAAGAGATGGAAACCAAATAACCTTTGGTTTTCCTTGTAAATCTAATTTTTTTAATATCCCAATTTGGAGGAAAAGCTAGGGAAAGAAAAGTTGGAAAAAAAAATTTTATAAAAAACTATTATGTCCATCTTTTTATTAATACTAAAAACCTAATTAAAAAAATCTAAACAGATTACAATCATCCTATAATTTTTTCAAAGTCATTTTTTTTAAGTTTCTTATATATTTTTCAATACAAAAATTTTTTATAATTTTTTAGTAATTTGATTTTGATGAATTGTTGAATATAAATAAATATATTTTTTAAGTTTATGGGATGTTAGAGTAGTTCAAAATTCATCAATGCATATTTGTAAAACATATTCCTGTTTAACTTGATTAAAAATCATTGATATAGTAGCAATTGTGAGACCAGACAAAATAGCAAACATATCATAATTCAGAAATGCTCTAAAATCACAGACAATGAAATGTTATAATTGAAAAAAAATATTATAATGAATTATTTCCTTTCTTTTTCACTCTTTATCTAAACAATGGTTGTTAAAATTCCTTTCCTTTCCTTTCCTTTATTAATTTTAATTATTCAAACAAATGTTACATATATCATTTCCTTTCCTTTAAAAAATTTTTTTTTCCTTTCATTTTTTTTTTATTAATATTTATCCAAACACAACGTAAACTACCAATGATATTCTAAAACCTGCATGGATTCAATGTAATAACTAAACTAATTAATGGGTAAAATAGTAAATTTAAAATATTAACAGGTGTCAAATAACTAATTTTCTAGGAATACTTTTAAATTTTAATATATAATTATAGATTATAGATTTTGTATTAATGAAATTCTGTCACTAAACAACTTTAGAGAGGACCGAAAGTATTAGCTTTAGGCTAAATTTTTTGCAGCAAACTAAATTTAAGTGATTTGTTTCTAATTTGAGACTGAGATAGAAGAATTATTAAGATATGAATTGTATTTCAAATGTGTTCTATACTTCTCTATTTATAGAGATTTAATTCAAGTGATTATGTCTCTTTAATTGTGTTGTTTAATCCACGAATCATGTTACTTTATTAGGAATACACCCCTATGTATGAATACAGACAATTATTCAAATGAATAATTAATTGGTGAATGATCACATATCATTTGAAATGAAACATTGAAAGATATTTTTTTTTGGTTTCAAACATTGAAAGATATAACTATTAGTTTAGGGCAGTCGACCCCACATCTTGGGCAATCAACTGCTCTGCTGCTTTGTAAATGTTAGTTCCGGTAGGCTTCCTTCATCACGGTAGGCTTCGTTCATCACGGCAGTCGACTTTCTTGAATTTCAGAATGCTTCCGATTTGGGAGCAGTCGATTTTTATGAGAATAAAAAATGTTTCAGTCTTAAGAGCAGTCATTCTAGCTTATAGCAATCGACTGCCATTGTGTCTTCTAAAAAACCTCCATGTATCAAGCAATCGATTGTCTTTAGGTTAAGTAGTCAATTGACTTGATTTTCAATCATAACAGTCCATTGTCTTAAAGATAAAAAATTAACTGTTTCTTTTTAACTTTAAAACCAAAACATATTGAGACTTTGGTACATATTTGAAGTGCGTGACAGTCGACTGCTTTAGCATTGGCAATTGACTGCTCATTATGGCCAGCTTATAGCAATCAATTCCACCAAGCATAGCAACCGAGAGCTATTAATACAAGTCTTCTTTCTCAAGTTCTTTGTTATCATGAAACTTTACTTGAGTTGTTTTATAGCTTATTTAATTATTCTTTCACTTATTTTGAAAATTGTTCAAAGTTATTTTTTCACTTATTTTGAAAATAATTCTAACATAATGTATTCGGGTGCCTATGTATTCATTCTCATAATGGTTTTGGCATCGTATCAAGATAGCAACTCATAACCAAACTTCAATCTTTGTGCGACTTCAAAAGCTAAACTTACGTGAAAAAAAACGCAAACTAGCCCTTTCGAGAAGTCTACAACCCTATTTGAGCAAAAAGAAACTAGTATTAACGAATCACACTGACTCTCAATTCGTCACATAGGCATATCATTTTCAAGTTAGGTTCCAAGGTATAACCAGGGACACATGGAACTGACCAAGTCAATTGATTCTCGTATTATGACAAGGGTTAAGAACTACGGGTTTGGTAGCACCCAATGAGAACACACTATTTAAAATCAAATATATGTCGTAAGAAGCTTACAATATGGTACTATCAAATGATGCAGAAAAAATATTAGAAATTCCAATATTTTATTTTTAAGCAAAATCTAAGAATCCCAGAACAAACTGGGGTAAATAATTTATTTCAATAAGAATTTGCAACATTTTTTCGTATATCAATCCCAGTCAAATATAATATTACAAATTTATCTAGAATCCATACCAATTATAGCTTTTCTTGCGGTAGGCAAAGGTCAAGACTATTGACCGGTGGACAAGCAGTCATGGCCTCTGAAAATTGGCACAGGAGAAGTATCCCGTTCTTCAATAACACAAACCCCTTGCATTTCAAACATCGTGGAAGAGACAAGCCTCTCAAAATCCAAACTGCATTTTTTGGAGATGCCTACTGGAGAAAGAACTCATGAGGTGCAACATTCAAGCTTCGTTCTGCAAGGGTTATATTAGTT